TTGTTTCTGTAAACCATATTCAAACATCTATCAAAGCAACATTTATAAACAATTGTATTTTTTAAGTGTGTTTTAATACATAGTTCATCATATGCTTAGTGGCTATAACAATAGAATAGGAATGGAATATTCTGATATCGAGGAAGGAAGAGCATATTACAAAGCACACAGCCGTTCATCATTTATTTACTAAATTATTTAGTAATATCAATATATATTCATATAACTATACAAACACTAATAAATAAAGATTAATAATGGCACAAATAAATAATGATTAATACTGAATTATATATATATATATATATATATGTGTGTGTGTGTGTGTGTTTCAGCCGAGGAGTCCAAAATCCGATGTGAGATTCATCCGTGCTGTAGTGAATCCGTCTCTCTTATAGATATCTCCCTCTTCTTCCTCACATCGTGTCTTTAAGAAACTTTCAACACAAAAACGGAAGATTTAGGATGTATCTTACTTTTGACAGAGTGAAAGAATTTAGTCTTTACCACCTGTGTAAACTTTGCCGGTGAATGTTATAACACAGAAGTTTTATAATATGTGTTATATTGTTTCATTTCTAATATAGGCCCTTGTGTCAGATAATCTAAGTCAATGTTAGAGAATAATTAATTTTTTTATATTTACGGAATCTTAGTTAGCCTTCATAGCGGGGCTGAACCCGTATTCTATGATGAGGGGAATCAACACAGTAAAAGACTTGCAGGTAAATCAATTTGTTTCCATTTTATCTTGGGGGAACAGATTTTATCAGGCAGTTAAAATATTTTGTTCCCCCATCCTAACTTTGGCAAAAAAAAAAGAGCAAATGTTATGAAAATCACAGCATTTCTTGTTGATGATGAGGGGAATCAACACAGTAAAAGACTTTGCAGTTAAATCAATTTGTTTCCATTTTATAGAGGGGGAACAGATTTTATCAGGCTGGTGAAATATCCATTCTCTCCTCTTCTCCCCCCATAACTTTGGGAAATAAAAAGTAACTGTTTCCAAATTCTCAAAAATTATGTGTGATAGCATACTAGACATTTCCTTATTTTCCTTATTTTACATTAGAACGGGATTGACCAAAACGTTTACACTCTGATCTTTTCAGGAAGTCTTTATTTTTGTGCCCTGCTATCGGCCAGCTTCCCTCCTCCTTTATCAGAAATGAAAAATTATAAATGCACACTTCGTGTTGGGAACCTGTTTGTTGACTTTTATTTGTGAGGCTTATAAGGCAAAAGCTGAAAAAAAAAAGATTGATTCTCTTCGCGTTTAAAATAACACAAAACAGCGTAAAAAGACCTCCACACAAGACCTCGTTTATTTGTATATGTATTTTTATTTTGATAGCTGCCGATTAAACTGAAAGTTACAACATTGACATGATTATATGAGTATTTTTTTTTACGAGAAATCGATCAGAAGCGCCGTGAAAATCGTCAAATCCGCCGAATCCACTTCTCTGGCTGCAATGCGCGCTCCCGACACAGGGGGAACAGATTTTCACAGGGGAACAGAATTTCTCACAAGACCGGAACGTGTCGCGGCGACACATCTAAATTTGCAGTACCGTAATTCCGCCACACGTAGCGCTATCTGAAAAATCCCAACGGTTTCTGAAAGGGGAGACGTTACACTTTCCAGCAAATATCGGGTTAATACGGCAACTTCACAGCTGCAGCTGCAGAGTGTAATTAATCCGGGTGGCACTCGTTTAATAGACACTAAATTGCGAAAATAACTTGCTGGATATTGAAAGTTCCGGTTGTTATGGATACATGGGTAAGTATGTCATCTCACAGTACATTTAAAGAACTACTTACAATTAAAATAAGGAATATTTATTTAGTCAGACGTTTGAAACTTAGGCGTAAAGAGCTCCGTCTGGGAGCCAGACTTCCAAGCAAAGGAGCATTGGACCAAACGGCCTGCCTCAACTAAACTAGATAATAGACAAAGATGTCTGCCAAAAAGAATACTAGCTCCCGTGTTCCTTACCAATGACTGTAAAACGGTTTGTAGAAAAGAAGTGCATGCGTTCGGTTAAATCAAATGAGATATGAAAGAAGATTAAGTTTGTCTCACCTGGTAAAGAAACACGTTTACACGTTGCGCTGGGCAAAAGAAAGGGGACAAGACGGGAAGCTGGCGGAAATTTTTACAAAAGGGGGGCGCTGGATTCCTTTGGGGGGCGTTTGGTCGAAGGTAAACTTTACACCTTACAATCACAACAGTACCAGTTTAGACTTTGAGCAACTTCCTAAAACTGTGTTGTGTAATATTAAATCATGCCTGGCTGCAACTGTATCGATGGCAGCTCTTCTTCTTCTATTCAGTGTTTGTAGCTTTTGGCG